CCCTGCTCGTGTTTGATTTGAAATATCGACTCCCAGATATATAAATGCCACGGTTTGAATGTGCATGCGTCATATTTAATGAGGAAACTCTTTCACTATAGCAATACCATCAAACTCTAATAGCCTACCGTTGTTAAGTATTTAATAGAGGAAATAGCAGAGGAAGCAATTGAACTTTATTGAAAATGAATTGGATGTTCCTCATCATCTCATTGAGTGCCACTTTAATCAAGAAATTCGGCACATGTGCGTCTAGCAATGAGTTCATAAGGTCTAATGATCCAGTGTGTGTTAAAGGTATGTGCATGTGCGTGTGTGTAAAAGTCAATGAATCTGTGTACACTAGTGAATAGCTGCATGAATGTATTTAGTATGTATGTCTTTTTTTTTGGGGGGGGGGGGGGTTCTGCAGTGTGCATGAATTACTGAGTGAGCGTGTGTCACTGGTGTGGCTGTGATCAGTGTGACGAAGCACAGTGACAGAGCTCTGGCCATCTGGAGACAGATGACAGTGTGAATCACCAGAAAGGAGGATGGAAGAAGAGAGAGGGACGGGTTGAGAGGGAGGTAGAGGGAGGAGGTAACAAGGAGACGACAGAGACGGGTGCAGGATGACACATCAGCAGGTGGGCGGGGAAATAAGGGCTGCTCACGAGGACGAAGCATTTACATCGTGTGAAAAGCTGCGTACGCACTGGCATGCACACACACAAACAAATCCCGTTTCTCAGTGGCCCCTTTTGAGCTAGCTAATGACCTGCTTGTCAACACTTTGGTATTATCATCCTAGAGTGAATGGGGGTGGCAACTCACAGGCTCATCCAAACACACCAATACATGTGCCCACAAGCTTACTTACACGCTGTTAGATGTTGAAATAGGAGTCTGCTTGATGCCTGATAAGAAAATGAGCCCTCCAAATAGGTCATTTACTAAAGAGAGGAAAATCACCCGGCACTCAAAAGGCACAGAAACATAGGGCCCAGATTATCTCTCAGCTGGTGTAAGCTTATCACCACTCTACTTCAACAGTCGCCTCCTCTCTGCCTCTTATTTCCCCTCCCAGTCAATTCTTTGCTGCTGCTTTGCTGCTGATTTGCTATTTTCTTTCCCCTCCTTGTGCCACCTCTTTAAGACCACCACCCTCATCCACTCCACAGCTCTTCCTCCTTCGCAGGAGTAGGAAAAGCAACATCATGGCAACATACACCAACTTTGCATTCCAGACATTCCTCAGTTTTGAGTAAATAGATAATGTCATCTGTTTCTCAGCTCCCATTCCCTCCCTTATTGCTCAACGGTGAATGTAGAGAGCAGATGGGAGATAAGAAGCAACAGAGCGTGCAGGTATATTGGAGGATTTGAGACGGGGAGTAGCAGGGAGACAGGTGGGAGAGAACTGAGAAAAAAAAAGGGAAGTGAGGCGTCCGTACAGGCAGAATCAAAACACACATGGGGTAAATAGAACATATGGACCTGTTTGTGTGAAGGTTTGGTTATGCTGGGGTGATAGGGCTTCCTGGAGGTCAGTACAAAATTTTAGCCAACTGTGCTAACAAGACCACAAGCTACCACATTTCTTTATGGATGAGGTAACACAGTACCTCCATGATTTTGGAATTTACATGGATCTTTGAGTGAAGATCTTCAGCAGTTCCAAGCAAAAATTGGGAATGTCACTATTAGGGGTTCAGATATCTTGTTTTGTCCAAACATCCAAAGATGAGACATGAGATGAAGAAAAGCAGCAAATCTTCACATTGGAGGAGTTGGATCTTGGTAAAATGTTTGGCATTTTTACTGCAGAAACCTTATGACTTTATCTTGTGAAATACGAGTCTGACGCCTGGGTCTAAATTGAGCTAGAAAGCCATGAAAACACTGGAGAAATCCCAACTTCAGAAACCAGCTAGCCCTCCACTGAGGAGCTGGTGCTGAGGCTGTTGGCTGGAGGAGCTGTCCATGGTGCTGAAGAGGACTTCAGCTCAGCGGCTCACTCTGCTACGCCTGTTCGCTGTCCGGGGTGCTGAAAATGTCACCATCCAGCCATTAGATTTCACTCGAATTTAATTCTATTCTTACGTACAGTGAAGACATTAGATAAGTCATTTCTAAATCACCAGCACCAAATAAGTGTTCCCAATTAAAATCGTATCAATTAAAGGTCTGCGGCCTTTTTTTCTGCGCCTGAGGGTCTTTGAAATGAAAATGTTGAAATATGAATTTGTCATTTTTTTCTTGATTTGTGAAAGTTAAAGACTGAATTTATGCCAAGGTCTTTCTCGCTGCGTTATTGCCTAGAAACGCATACACACGCCCGCCCACGCACTCCTTACCCCCTAGACTTATACGCGCACGCGCGCGCGCGCGCGCACACACACACAAAGTTTCTCTCTCATGACTGTGCGAATACAAGCAAATGTCGTGAAGTAAAAAAGATAAAAAGGAAAGCGGTATCAAGCCCTCCAGTCCTCACCACGTTACTGCAAGTTGCATCATGAGCACAACGCGGTGCATTTCTATAAAGGACAGCGTGGCTGAGAGAGGAGGACGCACAAGCGTGATCTTGCGTGTAAATGGACATGCTGAGCGACTGTCTCATGCGCCGCTGACGAATGATCTAAAACCCGTCGAGCCGAAACACGCACCAAAAAGGAAAGACACGTCATCCCCAATCTGCCTCCTCTTTCCTTTCCTTTCCTTTCCTTTCCTTTCCCTCATCGGCCTTTGCATTCTCTCCTCTGTACGTTTAAATGAATAGAGGTTGATTACCGCTTATTGAGCTACGGGTCCACTGGGACAGCTGGTTTTGATCCGATGGAGACAGCGCACCGCTCTCTTCAGATCTCTCTTTCAGAAGCCTTTCACACATCTCTATCTTTGTCTGCGTGGCCCTTGGGAACGATAATAAGGTTACAAGGGAAGCTGGAAATGGTTTAAAGAGAGACTGGTTGACAAATGAGGACAGTATAAAAGCACAGAAGCATCATATGTACACATATCTCTAATGATGCGTTGCAAATACAGTCTAGTCTGGGAAGGAACTGTGTTTTCAGTTGGCTCACATGCAACATCACACATGTATCAGCCGCTGTTGGTCAATAATTGGCCAGCCGTGCTTTGGTTTGATGAAGTATGTGGGTAGAGAAACGCCACGAACCACAGGTCTCCTCTTCCCTCCGCGCTCCGCCTCCCAGCATAGTGTGAGGCTCTGGTGCCGCTCAATGGGAGGATGGGGCAACTGCTGGTGGCTGCACCACCGAGGGACGCGCTAGACCACCTCAACGCCGGGGTGTGATATTCAAACATATTTATTGACACCGTTTAAAGTAAACGTTGTTACAGGGACTAGATAGATGGTCTAGCCTTCCCTGCTCTTCGTAAATATGTGCAATAAGTTAGAGTCGCTTTACTGGCTCCAGAAGTAGACTCAAACGGCAGGAGAGTGCGCAATAAAAAGCTCCCTGAACGCAAATAAAACAAGCAGCCTCCCACGATTACAGCCGCAATGAGATTTACTCCACGGAGAAGTCAAGAGAGATTTGTCAGTATCATCGGGGACTGAGCTGAGAGTGTGATAAACCCACATCTCACCAAAAAACCATCTGGGTGGCTGATGACACAAGTTTGATCAGAAGTGGGTGACAACGTGGGAGTTAGGTGGTGGGAGACATGAGAGCTGACGTTTCTGTAAAAGCTCAAACCGCACTCATACAGTATGAGATGATACGGCCCACTGTGCTTTGGTGATGCTGAAAATGTGCCCATTTTCCACTCACTCGTGGATTATGTGTTGTCCAAGCAAAGGTATGAGTGGGCGAACACACAGCCATGACTCACTGTCAAATTCATATTGTGGTCGTGGCAGTATTCTTGGCTTTTGCTAAATATAGTTGCCATTCTGTGGTGAGGAGCCAAGACAGTGATAAAACGGTTGGCGTTCTTCGCCAAAGGACCCATGCTCGGGTTGGCAAAAAAAAAAAAAAAAAAAAATTTAAAAATCATTGCGGCTCTTCCCCCCGAAACAAGCCTGTGCTCTGAATAACGCCACGAGCTGTTTGTAATGAACATCCACGGCTACAGAAAGAAACAAAAAAAAAATCATGGATCAGTAACTTCGTGTCTCCTTTCAGAAACACACCAGGTTGCCAAGACGTGAAAGTAAATGAATAGTAATGATAATCTGTTGAATGCCCAGCTCCGGTTGCAAGATTTCCATTTGCAATTAATCAAGGACAGAAAACCCAGAGTCAGTTAATTAGGCCTACCCTCCCTTACCTCCCTCGCACATGCACGCGCGTGCACGCTTAAGTAGCCTACACGTACACACACACACACACACACACACACACACACACACACACACACACACACACACAGAAAGAGAGGGTGAGAAACTATAGCTGCACAAAATCTTATTCATAGATGTTTACTTGGGGAAAGTGGAGAATCTTAACGGCTACTTATCTATGAGGAAACTCAGACACACACACACACACACACACACACACACACACACACACACCCATTTGGACTCTGAACAGCATAATAATCAGCCGCCTGTTTGACCACCACAACTGATTTCCCTCATGCTGCACTATAACGTTTGGGGGAAGCCACACTCGCACAAGGTGGTTATTTAAACATCCCCACAGCCCGTGTCATCCACCCCTGTTCCTCAAAAAATGTGCCTAACACAGTCCTTTAGTGACACGCATCAACAGAGTCAAGGATAGACATGAAGCTCATTTGCAATTCCTGAGGATCCGCGCTCACCAAAATAGCCACCCAGCCAGCCACCTCTCCTCTATTAATAACTTTGGGTGCCGGAACAGCGACATCACAGCGAGTCTGATCCTAAATGCGCCTTTAGGATGAGTGCGTGAGTGTGTTGCTGATGCTGATTTGCATTCAGTAGGGGATCGGGGAGGGTGGGCGGTGGAGTGGGGGGTAAGCCTGCTGCATTTTGCATGTCTTCAGCTGCACAGACGGGGACTTACCCTTTACTGAGGCGGCCAGTAGCCCCATATATAAGAAGAGCACCCGGCTCCAACGGTGCGCCCGCACTCCCGCCTTCATTAGAGCAAAAATCCGTATTCCGTCCCCTTTCCTGCATGCGCATTCCGGTCTCCTCGCAAGTCCCGTTGCTCCGTCCCGATTTGAAGCGGCGGTCATGGCAGGGCTTTTTCTCTGGTCTGGCAGGCACGATAGTTCTCAGATGGTCAGAAAAGGGAGATTCACTCGGTGTCGGCGCTGAGAAAAATCCCAATGCATGGAGGAGGCTCGGATCTCGCAGCTGGACTGAACCATGTCATGCGGGGACCGAGGGGTTCAGAGTCTCTGTCTGAGAAGATAGATTTCACACCTAAAGGGGGGGAAAGGAGGGAAGGCAAACCCAAAGGGGAGACGTGATTCAAGTGGTCACTGATCTATCGCACGCGTAAAAAATCACGAAAATCCCTCGTTCGCTCCACATATGTCATTGATTTCACCTGACACACGTTGAAAAAAACCAGGAGATCCCTCCTTCAGTTTGTCCCGCAGCACTTGTCTGCCCTTCTCTTTAATGTATCTCCAGTTAATAACAGCATCTGTGGTGCCGATAATCCACGTTGTAACTCGTCGTTAGACCGAGATTCAAATGAACGAACGACGGATGATGGGAGAGCCACAGTGGGTTATCCGGATCCAAGACCAAAAAAAAAAATTGCCTCTTTTTAGAAGTTCTCGACCAAGGTTGGAGTGTAGTGACTGATCTTATTGTGTAGAGAGAAATATGCAGTATGCATGTATTCCCAGTATCGCAGCGCTTGGCCACAGCGTCGTCTCGGGTCTGTGCGACGCCAAGATTCAGACTGCAGACCTGCTCCTTCTCTGCGCGCCTCTCTCTCTCTCACCCTCCCTCTCTCTCCCTCTCTCTCTCCAGTCATATACCCACATTTTCAAAAGTGTGTTGGGAAATATAATTTACTCCATTCACATATGATTAAGATCATCTCAGTAGGTCAGTTCAACAACCGACTTTTGATCCTATTAACGGTCCTTCCTCAAATTATGATGATAATAATAATAATAATAATAATAATAATCATCACCATAATAATAATAATAATAATAATAATAATAATAATAATAATAATAAAAGTATATGTAGCATTAAATCCAGCTTGTTCTAATTTGTTATGGTAAGATTTAGGGACCCACAACGCGGCCGTTGTCTCCATCCATTAAGACCAATCATCGGATTGCCCGGCAGTTTAACATAGATGTCCACTTCCTGCTCACTAAACGTGAAATTGATGCTTAACAGGCTGGAACCCTCGCCAGTAAATTTGAATGTCATTTCCACTTTTGCATATGACCGGTATAATTAGTTTTCCGCAATGCGCCCTGCGTTGGAAACAGTCTGGGATAATGAAATGTGCGTTGGCCTCCAACCCCGACATATATGATGGAGATCATAAACAGTCTTCCCCCGTTACATTAAATTAGACTTCTGCGCCTCCTGATCAGGTTGTGCTGCATGGGACATAATGTTGCATCTGTTTTCAGCACTGTCTTTCTTTAGCCTCAGGAAACCAGACAGGAAAGTCCAAGTTTGTGTGTGGAGTCTGTAGCTACATCTGATGGCCATTCATTTATTCCCTATAGGGTCATTAGAGAGTTATTATAACTCATTAAGCCGGATTTGCATTGCTAAAATAAATAACTCATGTCAGCTACCGGCATTAGCAGGAAGTAACCATAGAGATAAAGTCTGACATACAATGTTTGACAGTGTGAAATGGTTTAATTTACAACTGAATTGTCATTCTCGAATTTCAACTGGTTGCTATGACAGCCTGTCAAGATGCTGTTTCATTTAAAAAAAAAAAAGAAGAAAAGAATAAAAAAGCAGCTTCGAAATAAACCACTGAGAGAAGACTGACAGACACATGCGTGTGAACAACAGGGAGGAAAATGATGCTACCACAAGATCACTGGATGCAACTCACTCAAATACAATTCGCGGGCGCATTTGCACCCTTCCCGCGCTCCACCTGGATCCATCCACAGGCGCCCAACGACAACTTTGATCGTGTCTGCAGAAACATCTGGAGCAGAGCGAAAGAGGCCGGGAAGGAGTTTGGCAGAGGTCTGAGTCCAACGGAGACATCGCAGGATGAAGACGGCACCCCTCCAGACAGCAAGCCGAGTCATCACCGGTGAGGCTGAGTTGGGCACACAGACAGTCTGGGAAGGAACCACTGGCAGGTCCATTATGCACAATAAAACACATTAGTCTGTCACGATCAATCACATTGCCTTGGTTAATTCGCTGTAATTTGTCAATGAAATGTGTCTCAAAATGGATCTATGGACCTAACTGTGTCGTGAGCTCACTGTAGGTTTTTACACCTTTTACAGTCTCATATACCATTGCACGGTCATTCAGTCCTTATCTTTATTCATCATTTTGTTCTTCAGAGTGTTATCATCTCATTTTCCTCTCCAAGAGAGTGGTTGGCTTCTCAGAAGATCTAATTATAGAAGCTAATATCTTAAAGTAGAACATAGTGACCTTAGGATGATGTTGATGGTAAATTCTCCCACGTTTTAACTGTATTTCTAGGAATTCTGATATCGTTTGTGCAGATTAGGTAATATCGATACGATTGTGGATGGTCTTATTTGAGACATTAGGGATTAGAGTTTATACAGAATGAATAATGGATTTATTCATGTTTATTAATTATTTACTAATGCTTTAAAGGTCATGAACCATTAATAAAAACACGTTTTAGGTTGCCTGGTCTGTGAAAAATGTAGTTGGCTGGTGTTTATCGTTTGTATTTGGTAGTAAAGCAGTTATAATAAGGTTATTTTAATAAGGTATCATGTCTGTAGTGGTATTAAACTCACTAACCCGAATGAGGGGCTTTTATAACAACTGAATAGTGGTCCATTGGAGAGGGTCATCCTGAACTGTTTGACCTTTCCCTAAATTGGTCGATGGCAAATGGTGGGTGAACTGATGGACATATGTATAAGAAGTTAGGCCTATTTCTAACCTACATCCCAACATTGCAGTGTAGATCGGGTGGTGCTGCTGTGCGGTCGTAGAGCCAGTGTATAATGTTAATGCACACCATCTGCTCACCCGCCACCCGGAGCTTCCGTGACGTCTCCGTTATCATAAGTGTCCCGGGTCTCACCGGACCGTCTGTTCCGCACCACGGCTTGACAGGCTGGTGACTAAAGAATAGCCTCATTAAAAAGTCATGGTTTGAGACGGGTGCCGCATCCACTCGTACAAGATGGCGAGCCATGGACCCAACATTCATCCTCTTTCTGTTAACCTATGGGTCTATGTTGTTCATAGGCCTATTGGTTAACCAGTTAGTTTAGAATGATATTATTCACTTTCCAAAATTTAGTTCATTTTACCAAGTGGTGGACAACTGCATCTTGAAATATGACTTACAAATCTGCCAGTGCCTCCAGTTAAACTTATTTCGTTCGTGTTCATAATACAAATGACCTTATTTATTCTACATGATCACCACAGAAAAGAATATAAAATAAACCTGCTCGTAAAACTCCCAAAAACGGCTAAATCAACTGACTTTATTGGAGTGAAATGATCTGACACCGCTATCAGACTTCTCACTTTCTTATTGAAAACATGTTGAATACAAGACTACACGAGCAAGTTAACCTCGTAGGTAGTGACGTCGGTGTGATGCTCTGTCACTCATAAAAGATGTGTTAACTTTACACTCCCACACGGACTCTCTCTCTCTCTCTCTCTCTCTCTCTCTCTCTCTCTCTCTCTCTCTCTCTGTCCAGGGCTGAGAAGCCGCAGAAAGAGACTGATGATTTGAGTCTGAGCACAAAGTGTGAGGAGGACAAGCAGCAATGCCACACTGAGTTCACCCTTCCTTGCCGTTATCTCTCGGGCCGCAGACATCCCCGTGTTGCCAAGCCTGCATGGGTACTGAGCCCTGTGATGGAAGTCAAGATGAAACTAAATGAAGAGGAAGAGGCAGAGAGGGAAAGAAATTTGGTGAGCGTTATGATTTACGGAGGCTAATGTGTTCTGTGTTCTTACTCTATGCTTTTCAAACCAAAACTATAAGAATGTTTTCATTAACTCATTAAAAACCTGCTAATTAAATGATGGCAAATATTTTCCGTTGTTAATAATTCACTGTCATGTCAGGGGAAACATGTGGAAGATAAACAAAGGAGTGTGGAAAATTCCCTGAAGAAGATGCGGGTCCTCCAATCCATCAGCAGAACAGACAAACAGAGCTGTGCATCTGAACCTGGACCTCTGGCGACGAATCCCATCTGCTGTGCCACTGAAGAAGCCACTCTGCACCTGCAGGATGAGGAAGACCCTCCACTTCCTTCTAGGAATACATGTGAAAATGAAGATGAGCAGGACATAAAACAAAGCTCAGACAGCAATGCCAGTGATGATGATTTTGTTAGTCTACCTGAGGTGCGAAGTTGTGCCACTGAAAGCAGCGATGACAGCTCAGCGAGTGACAACAGTGACTGTGAGAGGGAGGAAAATGAAATTCCACACTTGTCTGATAAATTAAGGTCTGACACTAAGCAGGATTCCCCACCTTATACTACAGAGAAGGACTTTCCTCCACTAGCCACCATCAGGTCTGGCATTCTCCCATGTCCCATGGAGACTCCAGCCTCATGGAAGATGCATGGCCAGTGGGAGATTCCCCTTTCATTCCACCCACATGACATCCCCACTGCCACTTTGGCAAGCAAAATGACCACCCCTGCGCAGGCTCCTGTCCAAGGCAAAGCCGAAGCACCTCAGGCAAACTCAAAAACCGATGCACCACCAGCAGCCGCAACTCAGCAGGAGGCTTATGACCTACTGGCTGACTTCCCAGCTCTCCAGCCCCCAAAGAGGCCTTTCGCATCGGGTGTATTGCGTGACGGGAATCCCAGGACAAAAGATGCAAAGAAGCAAAGAGGGCTAACTCGCCCACCAAATGTCCGCCAAGAGAGTGGGGCTTCCCGTCAGAGGAGGATGGAAAATGTGCCCCATGAGGTCTCCTCCATCTGCGCAGGTGATCAGAAATCTGTGGCGAACCTTCAAACATTTTGCTCGGTCAGTGAACGCAACTCTCCTACCATCAGCTGTGGGGAAATGAAGGCCA